ATATTTATTTTTACGAGTTATTTTTTTATATAATATTCGAAGGTACACGAGTTATTTTTATTTCGCGTACACAGTAGACAATGCCATCGATATTTAAAAAATAAAAACCGACTTCTGTTGAAAAAATATTTCATGTAAAAAAAATAGTTAATATCGTACTTAGCCTGCAGCTAAAAAATCCTAAAGGTCACAAAAAATGAATAGGCAATGTTTTATAATTATAAAAATATTCTATCAAAAACTTTTTATCAATATGATGATATCAAAGTAAACAAGAAATTAATCTAGTTAGAAAAAAAATTTTAACATTTCTTTCACAGTAAAAGTTCTTTTTATTCTTTTTACATACGTAATACAATGAAATATCAATTACGTTTTTTCTGAATAAAGATTTCTTAATTATTAATTGCAAAAAAAAGAGTTTGTAGATTATAATCGTAAATATATAATCTTTTTATATAACTTCTATTTTAGTAGCTATATCATATAATACATCAAATGCATAAAAAAATCGATCTGCAACATATTGTAACATATTAGTCGTAAATATTCGAATATTTATCCAGTCAGAAATGATAATGAAATCGATATCGAATCGACGTCGATTTGATGCTTTGGACATTGAATCGACATCATCCATTATCATTTCTGATTGGGTAATCACTCTCGTGCACGTGGACATTAAATAACTCGAATTTATATCAGCAAAAGACTCAACGCAAATATAAGATCAAATTTATCGTAAAAACATTTTAAATTTTTTCAACGTTTCTTCATCGTTCTCAAAATGTCTTATGAATGTTTACATTAGATATATTTGAGAGAAGCAGCTTGCAGCTCTTCATTAACGCGCAAAAAAGGATCAGACTATGACTCACCACCATCATCGAAGTAAGGATTAGCGAAGCTTCTATCGACTAAGACGACCAACAGAAGAAATAACCATAGCAACCAGGCCCTCATGCCTCACGACCTGTGCCCGTTCGGCTCACAGTTCGCGCTAACGAAAATTCGGTAGAAATGAAATGCAAAGTCTGTGCCGCTGCTCCCGCTTGTCCTTCGTTCGGGAAGGAATCTCACCTTTGGCTCACCACCGCGTACTGGGGTGCGAGTGAGGATTCCACCGCGACCATAGCGCTTATATAGACGCGGGAGGCGTGGCGATGCGCCCCCACGAAGACATATAGAAGCGGAGCTTGGACTTCTGGATCGGACGAAAAGTTCTCTACCACGCAAGCTCTAATATACATTATTTGATCGTGTGCTGTAGAAACATCCCCTTCAAGCGGACAAAGGAATAAAATCATTTTCGGCTATTGTTAGCTCACTTTCAACGAACTTATACTCTCAGATAAAAGAAAGAGCAACTAGTTGCAAAGCAACTAGTAGATTCTAGACTTTTTTCTCCTCCTTTTTTTTTCTCTCTCTTTCTTTTTCTTAATTTTTTAAACATAAAAATTAAGAAATTATAAAATATTATGTTAGAAAGATATACAGACATTTATTATAAAGTGAAATCATCGATTAATATAGATTTTTTAAGGGACATCCCCCTATTTCTCAGAAACTATTGTATTTTATTAATACCTACTGATAAAAATCTGTTTAGATAATTAAAGAAATAAAAACTTATAGTTAAATATATTTCATATATTTATTTCTACAAAATCAATTAAAAACGAATTCTATAAATGCGAAAATAAAATTCTTATAATTTTTTTTGTAAACTTGCGTAATTTAAATAATAATGACTGTATTATTGATAATATTGCATTGTTTTACATGTTCCTATCGCGCGCGCGTAATTTATAAATCAATTTTTTTTCTTTCTTATTTTTCCATAATACAGTTTTAAATATAAAATTAGAATACACACGCTGCATAAATCGGAACATTTGTCTATAATAAAACAGACCATAAGCTAACTTAATAGTGCCACAGAGTTTATAGATTACTGTATATATCGTGATCCAATGCTAACGTTTCGTGAACCTTCACTTCATCAACGTAAGGAACACACTAATATCCTTTGGAACCTCTGAAGAAAATGGAAGCCTTCGAAGTATTATCAAGCTGACGTAATTTTTATAATGCTATTATAGTATCAAATAGTTCTATCGGATGTGAAGACGATCGTGTATAATTTATGGGAAAATTCTTAAAAAGAGACATTGTGCATTACATTTTTGCGTCTCGCAGAACAGCAAAAAGGGCTGTGTTTAGATTTTCACCCGAATGCCACGCAGGTGTCATTATATTCTTATTGCTCGCCGAATGTTAAACACGGATAATGTGATACCTGGAAAATACTTAGTAAGAATCTGAATGTATCCAAGTATACATATAAAAAAATCAACAAAAAAATTTTGTAGTGAAAATTCTAGGAAATATTATACATATTTATTTGTAAATATTTACTTGTAAATATTTACTTGTAAATATTTACTTGTAAATATTTACTTGTAAATATTTACTTGTAAATATTTACTTGTAAATATTTACTTATACATATTTACTTGTAAATATTTTGTACAGACGAATCTTGTGAAAAAAAGCTGGAAAAATGTGAAATTACTGCCCTATATATCAGTTTTGGAGTTTATTTTGCCAAATGCTTTTGCTTATTTTAATATAACATAAAATAAATTGAGTAATGAATTTGTCTCTTACAGTAAATTTTTCTTATAATCAGAATTACAAATATTATCGTTAAAAACACTTAGACTTTGTGACTATTTACAAATTTTTCACGTCAATATAAAGGCTTATAATTCCATCAGATAAAGAAATAACTATAAATCGATAGATGTCTTCTCACATAACAAAGGGATAATTAATTCAATCTGCTTGGCCTTGATATGCAATTTTATAAATCACTGTAATTTGTTCATTCATTAGATTTGGCGCTGAATAGAAATTTAATAAAATTTGTTTACTAGACATAACCCGTCTTGTTTGCTTGAGTTTCCGACAGAGATAATTGTAGAAATCAACGAACATTATTCGCAATTCAAATTAAATATATCTATTTAAAGTTGAGAGTTGTACTGAGTGTAAAAGAATTATATGCTGCGCAGTCTTTCTCGTTCGAACAGAATTTTAAAAGACGTAATATTTTGCAGTTTTTAATATAAAGATCTTTATATATCTTTTTAAATTAAAATCTTTATGTACCTTATTAAATAATTTAAAAATTAAAATTTCACTAAAATCAATATTAATATAAATGAAGAACAAATATTAATTATCCATCTACTTTCTAAAACTTGATTCAGAAAAGTTTTTGGATAATTCAGCAATTAATAATACGAACTTCGGTATTAGCAGTATGATATTTTTAAGAATTAGTTTCCAAAACTTGATTCGGAAAAGTTTTTGGATAATTTAGCAATTAATAATAAAGTATTAACAGTATGATATTTATGACTTGTTTTTTTTATGACTTGTTTTACTTAATAAAGATTGAATAATTAAGAAATTTGAATGAAAAAAGAAAAAATGAAAGCTATCTAAATATAATTTATTAAATTATATGTAAATCAAGAAAATGTTATACACACTCTCTCTCTCTCTCTCTCTCTCTCTCTCTCTCTCTCTCTCTCTCTCTCTCTCTCACACACACACACACACACACACACACACACACACACACACACACACACACACACAGACACACACACACACACACACACACATTATATACTTTTTAGAAAAAAAGACATTTAATTTTATAAATAATATAATGTAACTGAATAAATTTTATAAACATATAATAAATTTATTCATATGCATTCATATTTTCGTGTGTTTATTTCGTTTACATTTTATCAAATAAATATATAAATTATAAGAAAAGAAGAGTCCTATATATTTCTAGTTTTTTTTTATAAAAGTCAAATTTGTACTTTAAACTTGTACTTCAATGCTCCTAATTTCATTCATATCTCTATATTTTCTTGCAAGATTGCAAAAATATGATGCACTTCTCTTTTATGCACAACATGGATGAAATTTTAGTAAAAAATTCATTGTCAAATATTCGCTTTTCTCATTATAAGTTTTCAAATTTCAGAAAGTTCACAAAAGTTACACAATTGAAGTTGTCGTTTAAACCACGTACGGGAAGTATAATGAAATAGTTGCTTTCGACAATATCCATTATTCAGAATGTGACTTTGATCACGTAATCATAAACGCCTTTGCGTCAATAGGAACTTGCAACGTTTACTTAAGAACAATTCAATTTCAGTTGCAACGTTTAAGAACAATTGAATTTCAATTGACAAGTGTTGAAAAATTATGAGAGAACACGCCTTGAGATATAT